GCTGGACTGGGTCGGCCCTGGAGTTGATTGGCCGCTTTGGAAAACTGTGGCTGGCAGGGGACCAGACTGAAATTGCTATGCGCGGGGGGGAAGTGTTGCAGCATGCGTCCGGGGTAGAACTCCACGTGTACGATATTTCATCTGACTTATCCAAACCACAAGTTTGACTGTCAAGCATCTGAAACAAATGTAGTTAATGTATAACAATCAGTAAAACGCGGTAAATTGTACGCGTCACCGAACTTGTAGCTCAGACTTCAGGTGTCTCATTTTTATCTTAGATCATCCTCTCTGTGTCAGTCTCAGTCTTAATTGGTGTTCGTTTCTTCCTCGTCCTTGGCTGCTACAGGAGTTCAATTTTGTCCTCAGGTCTAAGTTAGCTGGCGTTGTTATCACAACATTCAGACAAAGTCCTGACGCTCGTTGACTGGGATAAAATCGCGGATATGGAAGTACTGTGTTGTGAATGCAACTTCATTCCTGTTAATCTTTTGGGAGACCGTGGAACAGCGTCAAAGTTGCTTCTGTTGGCTTTGTCGGATGTTATTCTAACTATTCCTCAACTGAAAAAAACGTTTTGTTAATCCTTTAAACTGACTTTTTCAGGGGCAGGTGCTCGCACAATGGCCACTCTCTTAGTAACTCAGAAATGTCACAACATGCGTTCAGTAGTTTGCCTCTATAAGATGAATTTGGCCACCTATTTTCACCCAGCAATATTCTTACATCAGCATCGGCTTTTACACCCTATAGAAGTTTTAGCATGCATTTATTAGTGTAGAACAGGAGAAATGTGCTGAGTCGATCGCAAAGAACAGGTCCTCTCAGACACGAAGTTAAAGGAGATGGTCTTACCTGTGGACTGTTTTCAAGTGAGATTGGTAGCCGACAACATTCGTTCAATGTTCGATCAGTCATTTGTCAGAAAGAATGTCCGCCAGGGTCCGCTTGGTGCCTAGGCCAATAGTTTTTTTATCGGGTGGGATTCTCCCTTGAATTATTGTAACATATCGACTCACAGCACGTCAGGCTGCCATCTTTTCCACTTAGGCATCGGTCGATATTTCATGATTATTTTTCTAAAGAGATTTTCACTGATTAGTGCTTTATCTCCTCTCTGAATTTATAGATTTCATTAAGCACCAGGTCAAAGTAGCAGTTGTAGCGGTGTAGAAATTTGCTTTGCGACCTCTTTGTCAAGAGGCGGTACATGATACAGTTGTTAAGAATGTAACTTCGTTAGAAAGGCCGGTCGGCAATACTTTATTATGCTTCCTCACTGCAGATTAACACGGGCAAGAGCTCTTATTTTAAATGTAGTGGCAAACAAATAGGCTGGAGATGAGCAATTTTTTGTATTGTTGAGCATAAAAGTTCCTCGATAATTTTTGCAGGCATTTCAGCCCCTTCCGTTTCTTCAGATACTGAGCACTACTCTATTTATTAACCAATTGGCTGGAGGTTGTACACGTACTATTTTTTGCTTTTGGTGGTTGCAGAGATGTCTCGGTCACTGACCAGGTCAGTGCTAATTTAGACTCACCAACTACTGCTTACAATTCCTTTCTAAGCCATGTCAGCCAGCTGAGAGCCCGTCGAATGCTTGGCCTAGCTTCTCGGCCTGCGCACCTTTGCACAGGAATCGAGGAGATGATGCTTGGGTTCTCTGTTGTGATTGCCATGTCTGTTTTATTTTTGCTAGTTTAATATATTTGTGAGAAATAGGCCCACGCTTTTGAAATCCCTCTTTGCCAAATAAACAAATCGGAATAATTAACAACAATGAAGATAACTTACGCTTCCATGTGAATAAAGACTTAGTTTCACAAGAGTAACTTTGTTTTTTTGGGTCATCTGGTCACATGGTCTGCTTGCTGCTGCAGCACCGGTTAGTCAAGGCGATGTTTGAATGTCTCTTCGGCTGAACTATTAGAATTGCCTCAGGCAGATTACTGCAGGGTTTTTCATATACAGTCTTACTTGGAGCACACGTAGTTTGAGTGGAGGTTCCCGAAAGCGGGTTGTAGAGGCTGGCTCGAAGAAATGACCCCGCAAGAGGGCGCTGTCCAAGTCACATACAAAACGGTATGTGTGTCTCAAGTCCCGCACAATTGCCTATAACTTATTGGACCGAGATTTTGTTGGGTGAGGGGGTTAAGTATGGCAGTGCATATTCACTTTTTACTAATTTGTAA